CAGTCCATCCACTTCAACCGTACCATACTCAGAGGCAGCACAGGACAGGATGTTTTATCTTCCACGTCCATCCAGGAGTGAAAAATCCAAACAGTTCAACTCTCAACAAAACTACACATTTCTACTTGTATTTTCCCTCTGCTGAGTAAGGAACTTGGGCAAGCATTTGTTTCCTTCACAAACCCTACTTGAGCAGTTGCCACCTCATGATGTACTGCATATGAAAGCCCTACAGTGTGGTTTTGGGAACAGTAATTTTTAAAGTTACTTTCACCAGTGAAAGAGCTAGAAGGCTCACAGCTGAATTTTCCCACTTCTTTCTACCCCTCACTGTTATTATTCCACCCAAATGCATGCATTTAGTCTTTTGGAAAGGCCACATCTGCATACTGTTAGCACACCAGCTTTGCAATTGCATTTCATTTCTCTAACCTGAGCGGTATTTTTACTTTTTATGTATTCCACAACACACAGGCAGAATAGGTACTTTGGTTAATATTAATAGCTCATTAAATGAAGAATGTAATTTTCACCCCAAACCAGAAGATATTAAAAGAATTTAGCAATAATCCATTTTTCCTGCAAGTCAATCCTCTAACGATGTATATTATGTTAGTTACTAGTCACTGTAAACTTGTTTTTCTAATTAATATATGAAAAAATTCCATTTAAACTTCAATAAATAATTTACCACGCTCATCCTACTGACTCAAATTGATAAATAATTTGCATGATACATTTTCTCATTAATAAGGAGGATAACTTTCTATTTGGAATTTATATGTATTTTCCTTCCTTTCTCCCTATTTAAAAGGCCAACATCACTTAAAGCCAAGCAAGGAGAAGCAATGTCTCTCCAGACTGCTCAGGTATGTGAAACAGAATATGTTTCCTAAGTATTTTTCTCCTGGCTTATGTTTTTAAAACTGGAAATTAAAAAAAAAAAAAAAAGCAATCTAGTATAGAGTTATTCAATAATAAAGACAGAAGGCATGATGACATGAAATGATTTACAAAAGGTCAGACAGAAAACAAAAAACTGCAAGTTGGACTGAATTACGGTAGCCAAGTCTACTCATTAATTTTTGTTGCAATGGTGATGCTCCTTCAAAAGCTTACTAGCCACAGAAGAGCTCACCTCTTCCAGCCCAGTGCTCAGCACTCCATGTTAAGAGGACATTTTGATGGAAACTGAGTATGACAAGGAGCTTTTTTTTACCAGATGCTTTATTTACTTGAAACGATTTAATTGCTTTGACCTAATCCAGACCTAGCATACAAGACAAAGATCTGGAGAGCACTGAAAAGGAAAAGAAAACATCAAGGCTTTTTTTTGTTGTCCTCCTTTTAATGCTTACACATTTCATAACTGTGTTCAAGTTCAGATCTGTTTTCAAAAACTTGAAGAATAAAAACACTATCAGTTGCACTGGAAGAAGTGTATGGCTGTGAGATATCTTTAAGCCCACATAAGCTCTCTGAACACTGGGTTAACAAAGGATTTCTACAATAACTTCCCCTTTGTAAATTCTCCTATGATGTAGTAATATGGTGTTTAAATAGCTAAAAGAGAAAATTAAATGAACATATCCTTTTCACAAGGGATGAGCACTCAAAGATCAGGAAACAGGCAAAAAAATTAAGACTGGGAGACATAAAAATGGAAGTGGTGGAAGTGCTCAAATGGAAACATACCATGCTATGCAGCACAGAGATACGATGAGTAACAAACACAAATACCTAATAAAAAAGAGCAAAGCACATATCAATGCAGCATTTTAAGAATACAAATTACTATTCTTCAAAACTTTTTGCATAAAATGAGCATCTACCTTCCTCGTTTGCTTCAGCAGGCCGAAAATACAGAAGAAAAACTTAAGTCAGCAGTGCAAGGCACACAAAAATCAGTGAAATTCCTCACATAATCACAGAGTTTTTTATGAGACAAAGCACTAGTTTTATGATTCCACTGACACTTCTTTTGAAAAAAGTCCCTGTAATGGAAATAAGTACTGGAACAGGACCATCTGCTCATATGCCAAATAGTAAATTAGAAAGGAAGAAACAACATTAATAAATAACTAGCCAAATTTCAGGATGATAACTTAGCTCTGATTCTCTCATCAAGAAAGAAGGCTCCATTTCATGAATTTCATTTAATTAGTTGAAAGTAAAAGAATATTTTCCTCAGGACACTTTACAATGGTCCATTATGTAATGTAACAGGATTCTCTTATTAAACGCAACTTTAAAAGCAGCTACAACTTTACTGCCAGAAAAATGCTCTTTTGCATCTCACTTTACCACCATGTTGCACTGCTACAGAAGAAAGCTTGAGTACTTCCTTACAGATTTATTAGCATCATCTTTTAAATAACTAGCAAAACCTAAGACGGATCTGCCAGAAAAAAAACAACTCAATTAAGGAGAGTAGGATTTTACTGAAACAGACACACTGCAAAACCAGAGAAATAATTTGAAATCAGAAAGTCAGACTACACATAATTTTTAAGACTTTTTTTCCCTTCCACAGTTTATGAGTAGCCCAAAGTTAGATTACTTTCTTGCCTATTTTAAGGCATCGTATGTGAAGGTCCCAACATGCAGCCCTAGGTGCTGCAGAATAAAATCAAACAAGCTGTTGGAAGGACATTGTACTAGGACTTTTCTGACAAACAAACCTGAGCAGGCTCAACCTCAAATGCAGCCCACTTGATAATGAAGCTGTGAGAAGTAAAGCAAGCATACTTCATAAGCACGATTTGCAACACACCACACAGAAGAAAACCAAACCAAAACAACAAATGAACAAAATGAAACACACAACCAAGAAAATGATTGAGCAGAAATACATAGCAGGCCAAGTAGGTTTTCCTTTTGAAAGCTACAATATAGCATTAGATACACAGCTTCCTCATCGTATCAGCCTGTCTAAATGAAAATTAGGTTTACAAAACACCATAAGATATGTAAGGATATGAAATAAAAGTCTAAGTTGTACTGTAGTTATCAGGAAAGATGTACTGCACTTCTATAAGTGCTGACACACACTGAGATGCCTGCATAACATCTGAACAGATGCACCACCTCTGCTAATGAATACCTCTTGATTTTACACATTCTGACTTAAGCAGATGGGAAGTATTGAACACATCTAAGCAGCCTTGAGAACTGAATTTACTAGGAAGAGAGAGTTGTAACCAAACTTACAGCGAGAGGCTCTTAGCTGACACATATTCAAAATGGTCACGTTTGTGGACTCCCACATTTGAGGTTTATTATAAAGCTTTACCTCTGAGCCTACGCAAACAAACATTCTGGCGTTTGATAAAGAACATGCCATTCAAAATAAATCAAGCAGGTAGCAAATTAGGATTAGCATGTTATTTACTAACTGCTAATAAAGGAATGACATTAAAGGAGTTGCTGCATAAAAGAGAATCACTGCGCATTTGATTCTTTAATAACGCAACGGCACAGCAATGTAAGAAGTAAAAAAAACAAAACACTATATTCTGTATTTTATTTATACATCCAGTCCAGACAGGGACATCATTTACTCAAAAACAGTTACTTAAAATTATCTTCCTCCATAATAAAATAGATTTCTTTAATATAACCTGTATACATCATACATTCTCTGAAACCAACAGTAATAACTTTGAATTTTATGGAAACAATTTAAATGAAATTAAGTGCAACCAGTTGTATATGTAAAAACCTTTATTACTGCGATGGCAAGACCTCTACAAAATCCATGCCTTAAATATTATTTTTAACAGTTCAAAGAGGACACTGGCTGCAAGGATTAGAGACCCAGCTCCTAGAACTGTCCCTATAAGATCCATCCCAATCCATATGCCACCCAAAAGAAATCACATAGTTTTACAATCACAAGAAGTAAGAGCGAAGCTATCAGCTTGCCCTTCAAATAGTACTAATAAACATTAACAACGTTTAGACGTGGTGGTCCTAGCACTATTTTTTATTCCACCTTTGGTTAGACAGAAGCTGCATCATACTTATTTTTCCTTGAAGTAAAAATAAACAAAATTTCAATAACCTGGTAACCCATTTGTATTAATTCCACTGTAAATTATTCATTTGAAATAGACTAAAGTGTTAAAAGGTTACTAAAACACTAGAAACACAGGCCCTCATTTGCAATAGGCTTTAAAGTTGCAAAAACTGACAGGGAGTCATACGCATTATTCCGTGAATATCAGCCCTTCAGAGGAGATTATTCTTCTACATAATGCTGAGCATTTGGTCTGGTCACTGTTTACAAGCACTTCACATTAAGGCCCCTCCACATTCAGTGTGGGTCTAGAATGAAAATATTTCACACTAGGCAAAAAGTCATAGGTCATGGAATGGCCTGGGTTGAAAAGGACCGCAGTGATCATCTACTTTCAACCCCAAAATAGTCGGTTCTCAGCAGCTGCTCCACACAGCAACACACTGGGGCCAAAGGAATCTCTGCTTCTTCATTGGAGCAGCCTACAGTGCCACCACAGCCACTCACGGAAAGCAGAGGAAAAAGTTATTCCAGTCATACAAAGTACCCCCTTGCTAAAAGATTCTTTCAAAAACCACTACTCTGGCCTCTGTACAATCCACCACTCTGCAGATGAGGATTTCTGCCTGCTTAGTACCTATGCCTGAAGTGTGAAGATTTGGCACTAGATAAAGAAAATATTTTAATGTAGTATTAGTGCATATATAATTATACTGTCAATTAAATTTTCAGTTCTTTCATATGGAAACAGAAGTGCATACACTTGAATTTTTCTCTTAATTCACTTTCCTACAATGTGGCGACTGCATTTTTAAATATAAAAAAAGCATTTAATAGTAAATCACAGCTCCTTTTCAATAATTGAAGTGTAGCTTAACATTCCTTGCTATACTGGACCAGCAGAACTTCTAAATAAGCAGCTATCAAAACAAACCAGTGACTGCTGTATTTTTCCAAACCGACTGAGGACTAGCAGGCTTACCTCAGATTCATCTGTTGATTCCTCATTAGACCTGGTTTCCTGAAAACAGTGCAAAGAAAAAAGAGAATATTAGCTAAGTACATACATAACCCTAAGTGAATGAGAAACAGTTCCCTTTTTAAAGTATTTTTTAAGCCTTTAATAAGAGAGAAAAATGAAAGCAACTCAAATTTCAGTGTTTTGAACGTACCAGAAGTTATCCTTCCCATCACACCTACACCATGGGCATCTAACCTAGTGCCACACTGACACTCAGTGGCACCAGGTGACTATGAGACTGCTGTTCCCTGCCCTAAAAGGAATGGTGAAGCATGCCATTTGCAAAAGCCTTCCTTCCCTCCAGAAGCAGTAAGTTCTACAAAGCAATACCTTTGTGGTTTGACTCCTGAAGCAGAATGGCATTTTCTTGTTATCCAGCAACAAGCTTCTGCATTCAACTATTAGTACAGTTATTTTAAAACTAAATAACTTCAAGCCATTTTCCACAGAAGTCAGAATTTAGTGATTTCTTCCTTCCTATCATATATCAACGCAAACCAAGTGGCTTTCCCTTGCCTTTGAAGCAATTGTACCTTTAAAGCATCTCTCTGTGGCAAGACCATGAATCTTACTGTCCTACCAAAAAAAAAAATCTACATTGACTCCTGCTAATTTCTCACCTGTCCACTGGTAAAATCTGCTGATGTAATGCCTCCTCAAAGAAGTCAGCAAAATGAAGATTTACTTAACGTACTTAATGCTATCAATTGCAATAAAAGGTTGCAGCTAACACGCTGACAGTGAATGGAAGCATTTCAACAACAAAATATGATACAAGCAAAGAATGAGCAAGCTAGAAGGCAGCATTTTAAATCTTATAAAGTAATATTTGGATACTATGATAAATAGGCAGGGAATCTCACCTGAGAAGGAAAAAAGAAAAAGAAAAAAAGTTACCAACAGCTTAAGGAGAAAGGAAACAATTAATGCACTGATGACCAGTGTCATCTTTAGTTTGCCACTTTATTTATTTTCCCCATTTATAAAAGGCACTGACCGTCACCTCTAGGCAGAAAGCAAATGGCTGCAAATGCCTCATCTGCATTACTGGAGGTTCACCTTTAGTGACCATCATAACTGATTACAGATATGGGATATGGGAGAGAAGAAAAGCTGCATTTTGCTACTTGAAACTCACTGTAAGATGTAACCACGATTGCTGCCATCTTACCAAGCACAGCCAGGTCCATCTCTAAACCACAGACCCCAAGGAATGGTAATCTACATAGTCTGTATTTACAAGTAGAAATAGGAAAGTGCAAGTAGGAGGAGTACGGAAGTCAAGAAAAGGTGAAGAGGGATTAAAACTCAGGTATCCTTTAAGCTTAGGCTTTTATCACTGTAGATCAGCCTCTCCATCTGTTCTAAATAAAGAGGTACCTTTCAGAAAACAGTAATTTTGTTATATATGAGTGGAATCTCTGTGCATTTTATGTTCTATTGTAACCAAATGATGAGAGAACTAAAATATCAGGCTGTAACACTGGCAGCCTATCAGACAAGCTGTAACAACACACACAGTTTACTGCAAAATATCACTAGATTCTCAACAAAATTTGCTTGTTTCCTGGACACTAAGATTTGCATACTCAGCTCCCCCGTACAAAAAATGATGGATACATCATTTTGATATTTAGATACATTTCACGTAGTTTATATCAGAAGGATAATGTGTTTGGGGGAAAAAAAATAATCTGTTTTCTCTAAATAAGCATTTAGAACAAGGGACACTTTTGCTGCTACACAGGACATTTTAGTGCAGTTACACCATTTACATCTTTCCCCATGCTTTTTAATTGTTTTGGTTACTCAGAAAAACAAGAGCTAGGGAAAAAAAGTGACAAGAATTCTCAGAGGGAGCTCACTGAGTTTAAACACCACACAGTCAGGCTCACACAGGTGCACAGCAAAGTTACAGCTTACTTGCTGTTGATCCTTACATCCATTTGTCACTTAAAACAACAAAGATCACATGAAACTGCAAGTCGTTATGTGAAAGGCCATCATTGGCAAATAGTGGCCTACAAAGTCACGGTGCACCAGAAATTGATTCAAATAAACAATCTATGTGAACCACGAGAATACCAATCCACGCTGCTAACGCTGCTGTATTAGCAAGCCACTGCAATTGCTGCTGCAAAATTTCATAAACAGAACAGAAATTCGGGTAAGTGTTTTATGGTCTTTATGATTAACAAAAGAAAACATCATTGAACAATTCAAAAGGAGTCTCAGCTTGGGCAATAAATGAAGAAACTCTGTTTGTTCCCTGACAGCAGTTTTGCTGAAGGTGTTCAGAATCAACTCATACCAACTAACCCACTTGCTAGCAGCATAATGAGAGAGAAGTTTTTTTCCCCACAATTCTTCTATCAGCACAGGCAAACTGCAGTTGTAACTATCCTGGAGTTTTGTCAGGTTGCTTCCCTCTCTCACCAAATGCACAAAACAAGAGGACTGTACCCTACTTCTGCTTCTAACTGTGGAAAGGAAATTCCTCAGCAGGGAACTGTAGATGACCAGAATCTCAAATCATGTAGGAATAACTGCCATTAGAAGGTCTCAGACTCTAGGGTAAAATCGGAAGCATGCTTCAGACAGATAGCAAATGCTGTTGCTCAGACAGCCTAAGAATAGAGAAAGAGAAAACAGATGAGGAAGTCACAGAAACTTTGCAAAGTAATCTCTAACCATTAGAATCTCTCATCCTTTAGATCCAATATGAATTTTCAAAAGATTTTTTTTAACTTGGCTTTCTAATACAATTGATATTGGGTTTATAAAACCAGATGGTACCAACTGTTCAGACCTATTTACTTAAATCTGCTGGGAGTGGAAAACTGTGAAACTTGGATTTCAAAGAAACCATGCCACTCCATTCACAACATACACATCCCTTCCAGTTGAGCTGTGCATACACTGCAGAGAAAATAAACAGAAGAGAGCAAGGTACCTTTAACTATATCATGATTACGAAAACACAAACTGCTTTAATCTTTTACTTTACTAAAGGTAAGAAAATTTATCAGGATTGGTTTTATCCCAAGGGCTCTCTGAAGTGTTATTAGTTAAAAGCTTACCAAATTAGACAGAAAAAAAAACCTCCCCCCAAAAGAATCCAGCCTCTCACAACAAAATCTCTGAGTGGAGAAAAGATGGGAACCAATCGGCCAATTTCCTTGAGTTTTAGAGCTCTTCTTCTTCTTTCTGCCTCTCAAGAAGGACAGAAGTCGTGCTGCTCAGCTGCACATCAGAACTAAAAGCCCTAACTGAGCAAACAAATTGAGAAAGTATTCAGGAAGCCAGGGAAATTCATTTCTAGCTTTAATTTTATTGTTTTCTCATCCACTCCAGAGGGGCCCTTCCCCTCCTTCAAGCCCCTTACTCTCTCCCCAGCGACGGCGCCAATCACATTTCAATCACCCGACCCCAGCTGCCAGAGATTCTATATCAGATGTCACCTAAACCCAGCACCCCCACCCCGGGCGGTCTGCTTCAGACAAGCCCTGACACTCAGCTAACGAGGGGAAGGACCGGAGGTTTCCCTCGCTTCCTCCTCTATCTCCAGCCCCTGTTGCCGCCACACCACCGGCCCGCGCAGGGCGGGCTGCCCCCCCCGCCCCCCGCCTCCCGCCTCCCGCTTCCCGCTTCCCGCTCCCCGCCCGGCTCCTCGCCCGCCGGCGGGGCAGTGCCCTTACGGCCCCTCTCGGCCTCTACCTTCTCCGCAGCTTCCGCCATGGCGCGGCCAGCTAGCCGTCATGTGAGGGCAGGAAGGCGGAGAGCGGAGGCACCTGGGAAATGTAGTTTTTGCGCTGGCAGGGTTGTCTGTCCTTTTTTTAATCGCCGTTCCCGCGTGTATCTGCCTGTCTGTGAGGATAAGAGCCGTTGACGAGCGCTCACCGGAGCAGCGCTTGGGCTGCTGTGACAGGACGACCTTATAAAGCCTGCATTTCTTTCTACGGTTCTAAGTGCTGCTGCGTTTTCTCTCTTTAAAACTGAAGACCTGAGTGCCGTGAATGAATCTAAACTTTCTTTCTGCGTTAAAATGTAACCGAAGCTAAATAGCATTAGGCAGTGCTTTCAGGCGTTATTCAGGCATTGCCAGTGGGGTTGCCCCAAATGTGAGGTTGATCAACAGTGTTAATGGACCGAGTCCTCACCCTCGCTGTCAAGGCCCAGAATTGAATATAATGCTCAACAACCTGGGCTGTCAGGGTGAAAACACAACTGTAAAGTCGCAGAGTGGAAGTTAAATGCAGAAAGCATTACCATGACATGGTGATGTAATATTGGTGGTGGGTAGACGGTTGAACTAGATGATCTTAGAGGTCTTTTCCAGCCTTAATGATTCCATGATCCTGTGACAGTGAAAATTGTGTGTCTCATTGCCATAGGCAGACTTCGGTCAAGAGGAAGTAGAACTGTCCCTTGAAGACACAGTGAGAGGCTGACGCTGGGTTGAGGACCTTCAGTCAACTGTGCCAGTACAAGAACATGTAACTGTCATGAATTAGATTTAATTTCTAAGGGAGATAATACAAGACAACCTAAATTTTTAATCAGTTAGCAGATACCATCAAGGCATCGTGGCAAAGGAGTACATAAATGCCATCCTGATCACGTGCACGTCGGGACACCACACAGAATCATAGAATGGCTTGTGTTTAAGGGGCATCTAGTTCAAAACCCCAGCCTTGGACAGATTTGCTGCCCACCCGATCAGCCTGCCCAGGATCTCACCCAGCCCAGTCTTGAGCTCTTCCAGAGATGGACATCCACAGCTTCTCTGGGTAACCTGTTCCAGTACCTCACCACCCCCTGACTACGTAAGTTATTTCTAAAATTTAGTACTGTAGACTGCAGTTAGATCTCCTCAAATCCTTCTCTTCTCCAAGCTGAACAAGCCCAACTCCCTCAGTATTTCCTCACCAGAGAGGTACTCCAGCACTTTGATAATCTTCCTGGCTCTCCTCTGGGTCCATTCCAACAGTTCCATTTCTTTCCTATACTGGGGATCCCCAGGCCTGGATGCAGTACTGCAGATGGGGCCTCACAAGGGCAGAGCAGAGGGAGCCAATCACCTCCCTCTCCCTGCTGGCCACCCCTCTTCTGATGCAGCCCAGCAAGCATACTGTTAGCTTTCTGCTCATGTCCAACTTCTTGTCCATCAGGACTCCCAGGCACACTCCTCTGCATGGCTGCTCTCAGTTGAGTTCTTTTCCCAGTCTGTACTTCTATCTGGGATTGCCTTGACTCAAGTGCAATGCCTTGCACTTGGCCTTGTTAAACTTTATTAGGCTCTTGTGTGCACACTTTCTGAGCCTGTCCAGGTCCCTCTGGATTGCATCCCTTCCTTCTATGGTGTCAACTTTACCAAGACCTTGGTGTCATCGGCAAATTTGCTGAGGGTAAGATATTAAGCTGCCATTGTACAAGATGTTGTTAAGACCTCAGCTGAGAAAAAATGTAAATTTCAAGACACTTTTGCTCAAAAAAAAAAAAAAAAAAGATGAATCCAAATCTAGTGGGTGTCAACTCTGTCCATGGCAGGTATGGAGCTTGATGATCGTCAATGTCTCTTCCAGTCCAAAGCATTCAGTGATTCTATGAAATGATTTTATGAAAGAGAGCAAAAGACAACTGGAAGGATCACAGAAATTCAGGGTATGTTCTGCTGGCTTTTTCAGTCTAGAAATAAAAAGGAGCTGAAGAGGAAAAAGTGCTATTAAAGTGAAAGGTATGAGAGGAAATAGGTATCATCTGTTTTCAGTACATTTAGGCTGGAAATGAAAAGTAGATTTCTGTGTATCAGACAAATGAGGTCCTCTGGTGAATCTTGCTGACAAGAAATGTAACTGATTACAAGAGTCATAATAAGCTTCTATAAGAGACTGCAAGAGATGTTTGCTGGTAGGTCTGTAGCTTACTCAAGAAAACTCATTCTGGTCTTGTTCTGACCTCCTTGAATCTTTTGAAACGAAGGAAACAATACCATTGCTGTCAATGGATTCAGGATATGTCCTGTATATTATCTGGTACTTGAAGACTGTATATCTAGTGAAAGGAAAGTTTGCCTGGTATCTTGTTTGGTTGTTTTTCTTGTCCCCCGCTTTTAGGAAAAGAAATGATTAGGAGTTTGGAGCTTCAGTTCTGTTGTTTTTTTTCTGTTGTTTTTCTTAAGCAGAGACATTTTGTGATGCATTTTAAACTGGAATGAGCTTTAGTAACTGACTCTAAAAGTGCCAAGAAAAAAATAGAGTGTAAGGGAAAGGATGGCAGATCTTGTGAACTTGGCTATTATAACATATAACAAGGCATATTTGTTATGAACAGTCAAAGAAAAGCTGTTCCTGTTTTCACTGTACATAGAATAAGTGGTATAAACAATCTGATTTACTTACAGCATACTACTTATTTCTGACAGAAATGTGCAAATGTGTGGTTTTTTTTCTTCTTCTTTTGTCTTAAGATATGAATTCAATCCACCATGATCACACGGTTGTATTGTATCAGGGAAATTTAACATGTTATAATTTGATTCTACCGCCTTTCCCACACCCCATCCTCCAAAAGTGCTGACAGCCATCACGTTGCAATGACAGCAGTGGGTCTGAAATTTTTTCAGCACCTCACATGAAGCGCTCAGCATCCTTTGTCCTAAGAGCATCCAAGTCAACTTTTGGAGAGAAAACAGTGAAATGTAGTTTGCCATGAGTGGACTTCATAAATTCACTTCCTGCCTAAGGGAAGTAAATGTTCCAGCCTAACCATAAAAGGTGCTCTATCTGCCAGCATGTGGATCTGAAGTTCTAGTAAAGTTACTTGGCCGAAGTGAGATATGTTTGGGATCTCTGCTTAGGACCTATCTAACTTTAAAGGTTAGGAAGAGCATTTTGGCTTAGATTCTTCCCAAGTGATTGTCTAGCTTTAACTTGATTCACCTTAAATAGCACTTTTCATAAGTCTTTGTAGGTAAAGATTTCAGACATACCATGATGATTTTAATGTTTGTAGTACCTGATTTAATTCAAAGTTGACAGGAATACCACAGAACAATTACAAAAGGGTACCGAAACTCCCATCGACTTTCTAAAATTCAAGTCAGTATTTTTTTTATTTACCTTTTGCCACAGAAAATGGAATTATCATTGAAACATGGACCTTGACCATCATTCAGATTCCAAATACTGGCTAGAATTTTTATCTCTTGCTTTTAACACACTTTCTTCCTGACTACTGCGAAACCTAGCAAGTAACAAGTATCCATGCCATTTGGTAAAGATTATTGTATTTCAGGCTCCAAGAGCTCTCAGTTGTTCTCAAGTAGGACTGATTCATCCAACAAAATATTCAGCTGGGTTATCTCTCTCCACTCTCACCACCTCTTATTCAGTAAAAAAAAAGAAAAAAAAAAGAAAAAAAAAGTGGTGTTGTCTGTAATTTAATAGCATTTAAAAACACTATGCTGGATAAAACATAGCTAATATTGTTGTCAGAACAATAGAAGTTCAAAGGCTTTACTCTTGCTGTTTGTTTGTAGACAGAAAATTGCAAAGGCTTTTCTTTTTCTCACTTGCTATCAAAGAATTATTTCTTTGAAGCTACTTTCAATTTGTATCATAGCTTCCCCTTGTACTTCAAAAAAAAAAAAAAAAAATCCTGTTTCACCTTCTAGCATCATGAGGTTTTGCAAATGTTTGCTTTCTTCTTTTTAGTCCCCTTCTAAAAACTATTTTATGAAAATTCCTCCTGAAATAAGTAACAGACGTTGACTATAAAGGCTCTTTAATTATAAATCAAAGAATCGTATAAGTATATTTTAATGACTCAAAAGTAGGCAAATCATGCTCATAAAGCTAAGCTCAGATGCAAATCTTCATAGCATACTCATTAACAAGGATAAATAAGTATTTTTTTGTTAAACATAGGAAGGAGTACAATACGAACATCATAGTAACTGTCTTCTTTAATTGAAGCTAAAGATTATCTTGTGTAGTTTGCCATATCATCAAAAAGGCAAAGAAAGAAAGGGAAGTACACAATATTGCTATGTCCCACCACCATGGCAAATGTAACTACATATAAACAGTTTTCCATTTTTATAAGAAAGAGGGATAAACATATCAAAAACTTTCCTACAAATTCTTTTAAAAAGTTGATCTCTGTTCCCAGACATATTGACACTTTTCAAAATTACAGTGAATTATTTTCAGATCTTTCAGAAATAGCATTTTACTTAATCTTTTTTTCCTTCTTCCAACCCTCTCTCCCTGTGTTTCTTCTGCTTCTTTCTTTCCTCTCCACTCTCAGGCAGTGTTTATTGAATGATACCTTCTTGTGCTGGGTAGGGCACACAAAGAAGATGAAAAAGTATGAAGAACAGTAAACAAGAAAAAGCCAGTACAATTATCCATTTATTAAAGATAAACAAGAGGTATATATAAAGAGAGAGGTAGTAAGGGACCCTCTTAAAAATCATATAGTTAAAAATATTAAGGGTCTGGTAAAGAAGGAGCAAGTCTGAAATTGAAAAGTGATTATGTTACAAGAAAATTCCACAGATCTGTAGATTATGAAGCCAGACAGCACTGTGATTTAATCTGAACTCTTCCCTAACATGGGCCATGAAATTTACCTGAATTAATTCCTCTCTTTGTGCAATTTTTTAAAAAAGAAAGCATATCCTTGACATAATGTTTCCAATTATACAGATCTTACTGCACCTCTGATAAGTAATTTCAAGGACAGCTATACTCACTGCTAGAAAAATAAAGAATGTGAAATAATGTCTTACCAGGTCACAGCAGTGGTCCACCTAGCCTAGCACTTAGTCTCTTATAGTAGTGCTCAGATGCAGTTTGGGGAGCATACTTAAGCCTAACTGCTGAGCTCTACACCACATGTTTTTCCCCAGTGGAACGCTGGGGATACTAGGAGGTACCTTACTACTCCTGCTAATGAACCCACCACTCATTGATTGAGGAAAAGATGCCCAGAAATTCTCTGCTTTCTGCTTGAAGAAGTTGGTGGGTTTTTGGTGTTTTTGTTTTTCTTTCCATTTTTAATTGCTCTGCTACAGATCTCCTGCCAATTTTGGTCAGTGCCCCTTAATTCTAGTAGTGCAGGACATAATGATTTTCTATTATCACAATTTACATTTAAATTTGTCTATTATCACCTTTGACCCACTCCATTATGATCATTGCAACTTCATTGACCAGCAGTTTTCAAAAGTTTACTGTTACCAGCTTTTTATTCCCCACCTAAGTACTCAAACCCTAATACAAAATAACTTCTTAATTATTTGTAAAATTGGATTGGAATGGAAAGGCCACCAAGTCTTTCATAAAAAATATTTTACATCCTGCAAATCATTTTTGTGACTGTTGTCTGCTCTATCTCTAATCTGTTACCATCTTTCTTGCTTTCTGCTGACTAGAATATGATTGTATTAATGTTAAACTAATGCAAGATATTCACCCCTTTTGCATTTATTATATTATTGTGAGTAACTCTACCGTTCATTCTCATCAGAATCTTACCATAACTATCTGTCATTCAATTCTTAGGATTAGTTTTCCTTCCCAATCGAATTGAAGCACTACTTCTCTTTAATCCTTCTAGTGCTGACTTTTTTTCTGTTTCCCATAATATGTATTTTATGATTCCAAGCTTTTAATTTACAGTTAGCACCATTACTTTCTTCTTTTTGAAACAAAGCATAAAAATGAAACTATAGTATAAAATTATAATGGATGCTTTTACTCTTCCTTGAGAATGTTTTGTGGGATTTTTCTCATATCTTGTTTTCGAGCTCTAAAGTGTTCATTTTTAGTTCCCACTTCTCATTTATATGTTCCTCCTAGCTGCTTATTCATTGGTTACATCTTTTTATAGCAGCATTTGTGTTTGTTTCCAGCAAGGGCCAAACATAAATTTAGTAAGAGTCATGAGCATTTTCATCAAAGAAAACACTCAGACTAGTCAAATTTGAAAATAATGTGTAACACCTATAACAATCTTAAGATACTATTTGGTACAAGAATCTTAAGAAGTAGCTTAAGTTTGATTGCAATGTTCGTATCTAGGTTACGTTAGTTTTAAGAAATTGGGCTTCTTTCCAGATTGCAAGAGCTGCTGTCCGTCTTTACAAGTGAGACCAATTTGTAAAAGAAAATGCATATTACTTAAGAT